CTTATATTAAAGTTTTTCTTCATTACCCATTTAAGCCGTCTCCAGCCATTATAAGCAGTAAGGATTTCTTTAAATGCATTAAGGGTAAGCAAATTACTAGGATGGCTTAGAGGGATGGTACAGGAAAGTTCAATTCTGATGATGGCTGGTTTATTAAATTCTTCTTTTCCTTGTTTTTATTAATGAAGATTTAAAATGTATATTCCTCATCCTGAACAACTGCTAAAAGAAAGCCTGATTGAAGAAGATAATTAAATTAATTCTGAGCTTGTTAAAAACTATATTGGGGAGTTTAGAGAATGATAAATCTCCTGGGCCAGATAATATGTGAGCTGCTTTATACATCAGTAATGTAAATCAAGGAATGGTCAATAAACTGCTTAAATATGCTGATGATATTAAGGTCTTGGATGTTGCTTCGATGATGAGCATGCTGCTACTTTACAATAGGATTTACAGATAATTTTGTTGTATAGGTCAATAGTTAGCCCCCAATTCGAGTACTTTCTTGGGCTCCTTACCATAAGAAGGACATTGAATTGTTGAAAAAAGGTTCAGAGGAGGGCTACTAGGATGATACCTGGGAGGAAGGGTTGTCATAAGGACAGGTTAAGATATCTAAACTTTTCTCTTATAAAAATATGAGTTAGAAGGGATCTGATTGAGGTGTTTAAGATAGTGAGAGTGAAATTAATAGTGTTGATGCATTGTACGTTTCTGTATTTAATAGTGAAAATGGTAGATGCAGGGAAGAGAAATTTAGGACAGTTTTATATTTGTAAGAAGTTGGTTGGCCATTGGAAGGCTTGATATATATTTAAATGACAAATGTTGACTGGTTTGTTGGAATTGTTTTTTTAGGGTAACCTGTTGTGGTTGGCACAACTTCAATAGACCAACAAGCCCCTTCTTATCTTTAAATGTTAGGTTATTATATAAAAAATGTGCCGTGTTTTACTGTCGTTTAACATTAAGTTAATAGATATATAAAAATTGGCTCTTTCTAACAGATTTCAAAATAACTTTGAAATATGAGTATCATAAATGTATGTTAAAACACGAATATACCTTTATATTTACATACTGTATAATATATTGATATGTAAAGCTTAGAAAACATTGTAATACTTATAATCAGTTAATAAATTCAAAACGAAATGCTAAGCCTAATCAATCAAATAAATATTAATAGTAATACTGGATTTTTCCATGTTAACTCAGATCAAAATTTTAGCTTACAATTATCTAAATTTTACTTATATTGTAAATCTAATTATTATAATTTATATTTAAACAAACAAAACTTCGATCTAACAGAACATAGATTTATCAAAAACAACACTACAAATTTAAATATATAAAAAAATCACAATACTTATCATGATTAAATTAGGTTAAGTAAGACTTGATGGTTAGGTACTTTCGACTGATAATAATAGTAATTAAAAAAATATATGTTTTCAAACAGAAGTAATGATTGGAAGATTTTAGAGATGTGAATTCTACAGTCTCTCCAGTGCTATTTTTCTTGTATGAACATTTTGTTTATAAGTCCGGTTGGCCAAATATTTATATATGGGGATAAATATATTTATTCGAATTTATTTCTGAAAGTCAAGAGAGTATTACTAAATTTTTAGTTTAGCACTTTTTAAAAATATATCCCATAGATGGCACGAGTAGTCGTCGTATTCCTACGTTTTGCATGATGATATAAAATGTTTTATGTTCTAAGTTACACGACTTCTTATACAAGCACCACCTTAACTGAATACTGGAGAATTCGAAAGTGAATGTACTGTAGATTAAAAGTATAAATAATTGAGATTTTCTGCATTATCAATAATAAAGTTAAAAAATTTAATAGACGTATGAATAGGTGAACATTTGTCATATTGTAAATTAATATACCATATTTCATATTATGCTGTATATAGAAAAAAAGATTAATGAGACAAAATTAATGACACCGTGACAAAAGTTTAATATTTTCGCAGTCGACGGGATTCGAACCTGTGCGGGGGAAACCCCAATGGATTTCGAGTCCATCGCCTTAACCACTCGGCCACGACTGCGCATAGTTAAACGTTTCTAAAAGTTAATTTTAAGTATGTAATATTTTTTTTTTACTATCGTGTATACATAAATTTACTACTTTCTGTTTTTGGAATATATTATTTTTAAAGAATTTGTAATTTTATTATACATTTACGTTGATGTGTAGTCATATGTCATTATAGTACCTATAATTACCAATATTATAATATAAATATTAGTACAACTGATTTAGGGCTCAGTAAAATATTGTTACGTCTCCGTG